AAAGCGGGAGTTCATAACCCACTTGAATCAAACCGTGTAATATGATGTATTAAGAACTATGTAATGTTATGAACGACCAATAAAAAAAAAAAAGGCAAAATTGTGCGTCCTTATGCATCAAAGATAAGTTTCCTATCCCTGTTGTGGTCCAGTTAAGAAGACAGAAATATTTTTGTAAATGTACAAAGTGGATTCTGTGGACAGTGGATTCTGAATTTTATTTATTTTATTTTATTAAGTGAGCTTAATGGTTTCAAGGGTTGTCCTTAGCTCTAATGTCCTCATCCCCCCTCTCTGTTCCACTACATCCCTTAGATCATTCTTCTCCCATGACTTGATATCTCCTATTCCAGCATATCACCAGAAAGGTGGTCAGTGCTCTAGTGAGGGACTCTCAAAATGCCCAGTTATCCACAAAGCCTTGCTTTAAAGGTTCTGAGTAGCTGAGGTTTAGTGTTCATTTTGAAAGTAATAGTGAGTTCAGATGAGCCTAATTGGGAAAAAAAAAAAAAAAAAAGGTATTTTGTAGGTTTATGTTAGTTAAGAGCAGATGAGATCTCTCTATCACATTTGCAGGAAAGAAATCTAACACAATGCCTCAGAGCTTCATTGTCTCCATTCCAGAGCATACTGATGTGTACTTTCTTTTATTTTCCCTTTTTTTTTAAGTTGTGCATATTTAGGGGGTTCAGTGTGATAATTCACGGATATAATGTGTTCTAATGAACAGATCAGTAAGTAGTGCTTTCATCTCTTTAAACCTTTGCCATTTCTTTATATTAGGAACCTTCAAATCCTCTCTCCTGGTTCTTTATAAAATGCAGAATAACTTTTTACAAACTGTACTCGCTCTGCTGTGCCGAAAAATGCTAGGACTTGTTTTGGTGGCTAGTATCCAGCCTCCCTCACTCCTTCCAAGCCCCTCCCTCTCCTTCCAAGCCCCTCCCCCTCTCCTTCCAAGCCCCTCCCTCTCTCCTTCCAAGCCCCTCCCTCTCCTTCCAAGCCCCTCCCTCTCTCCTTCCAAGTCCCTCCCTCTCTCCTTCCAAGCCCCTCCCTCTCTCCTTCCAAGCCCCTCCCTCCTAGTGACTGTGGTTCCGCTTTCCACTTCTATAGTTGATCTTAGCCAAGAGGCCAGGAAGCCATTCTACTGCCTGCTCCTCAGAAGTTGGCACTTTTAGTGTCCACGTCAGTGAGAACTGACGTACTTCTTGGCACCTTCTGCATGATCAGTTCCGGGTCTTCCCCTTCCTGCTGCACTATGATTTTTTAGCCAGATCCACAACTCTTTGTCCCTAAAAAGCATCATTCTAATGCACCTTTTCTTTTTGGATATGAGTACAATTAAATCTAGTGCCCCCAGAGCTGCTTTCTTTAGAACACGCATAGAAATTAGCGCTACCTGGCCAAAAAAAATGAAAAGGAGGGGCAGAGAAAGCAAGCGTGAAGCCTAAGATGCTTCTGTTTAAAGTAACGTTAACATGGTTTTTTCTTAAATTCTTTTTCTATACAACAAAAGGCGAAGTCCTGGCTACACCAAAGTTACGAAAAGGAAAAGAATTTGAAGGACAAAAAAGAAATAGGAAAAGTAATTATTTTAATAGTTACCCTCAACGGAAAATGCAGATGAACATAAAATTGTCCCCAATTAGCAGTTAGATAAATCCAGAGGATTATAGCAGGATTTAAATCCCCTTCCAAAAATGCCACAGCTCCGCTAGAAACTGAATCAGGATGATTGCAGCTGTTTTTCTGTGAGTCTGACCTGCACAGAGATGCTTCACTGAGCCAGGCCTCTCTGTGTCCTTGTCTCTGCAGCGCCAACCTGTCCAAGGCCGCTTGGGGAGCACTGGAGAAGAACGGCACCCAGCTGATGATCCGCTCCTACGAGCTTGGGGTGCTCTTCCTCCCGTCAGCATTTGTGAGTTCTCTCTCCCAGCTGTCTCAAGGGTCACCTGGAAACTGAGATGGATTTTTGGGTTCTCTTCTTTAGTCATGGTGACTTGTCCAGGGTCAGCAGATAGAGGATCAAGATTCTATACCAGAACCTCTGCTCTCAACAGCTGTTCTGTGTGATAAACTTAGAAAACACTTAGACAGATGCAGTGGGTTACCTGGTTAGAGGTCAACAGGTGAAGTTAATAGCAGTGTTTAAATAAGTTCTGTGAAATATGACATGAAGATTCATCTCAAGGGGTAAATGACAAATTACCAAAGGAAGGGCCCAGCCAAGCACAAGCATTTTAGTTGGGGATGATGGGAGGGTACAGCCGGGAAGAAGGAGGGGTTGGGAGGCGGGCAGGGCACCATTATTCCTGGAAGGAGATTGGCAGGAGGGGAGCTGGGAGACAGACTGGTGTCATGCCATGTGCGCCCCTGAAAGGCACCACATGAGAAACTGTGTCTCAAAATGTCCAGCCCAGCTGGCATACTTCCCAGCTTTGAACTGACTCGTGGTTTCCACAGCCAAACACCAGTGAAGTGGCAAGCTTCTATGTGATGACCAGGTTGTACAAGCCATATGTGTCTTTAAACACTAGAATCACATTTGGCCCAGAGAGGAGTCCCCCACCTCCGAGGGGCACACAGGCCCCAGGAACTCCCATCTTCCCTCCCCAGGCTCATGTGGTGGAACACAGTCAGAATCGCCCATGTAATAAAGGCCAATGCCTCTCCCTTCCTCCCTCCCTCCCTCCCTTTTTCTCTCTCTCTCCCCCTGCCCTTCCCCCTCTCCCCTCCTCCTCCTGCCTCCCTCCCCGTCCCCCCTCCCCCTTTTTTAAAACCACTTGCTGTAATTGGCTTTATAATAAACATACATGACATAGCTCCATTGTGAACCACTTTTACTGGACCAGGTTTAGCTAAGCAGGTGCTGGGTGCTTATTCTTACATTTTAGTCTGGTCCCACATCATTCATGGGAATCCACTCTTAAGGCATGCAGGGCCCCCTCCTTCCTGGCCCACCTACACAGTGCTGCCGTCTTTCCCTGCACCATGCTCTAGGGAATAGCTGTTCTCCTCCTTTCTCTCACTGTTCCTTGCCAGTCTTTACCCATGCTTCTCCATCCAGAGGGCTTACTACAAAACTATCACTGGCCTCTTTGGAAGGTGGTGTCATGAGGTTTCAGAATATTTTGTTTCCTGCAAAGAAGAACAATGCAGATTCATATGCCACTTACAACGAGAGCTCAGCTTCCACAGGCCCATAAGGTAGGTGATTACCCTATTTTCTAGGCAAGTATATTATGTCCCGAAGGTTCCACAGGTAAAGTGGGACCAGCCCTGAGACCTCAGTTTTCTCATAATTCCTTGGTGATCATCCAACTTTATACTAGTTTCGGGGGAAATGGTGAACTCACAGTCCAGGATAACAGTATTGAGTAACCTGAGGTGATTATAGTGATTGTGGCTTCAAACTCAGGCTGGAGTCAGCTCCTAGTAGTTCCTTAAGAAACAAGAAAATTCCAAGTCATTCTTGTTTGGCTTCTGTCAGCTTTTGAAAGTCCTAATCTGTTGTAACGGTTCTCACCGCCTCCCTGATCATGAAAATGGTAATATAGAATGTGTTGCCCTTACACATTCTCTAGGCCCTTCTCAGCTGCTAATCTTTACCTAAGATATTCTTTCTCTGCACCTTAGAGAAGGGTAATAGAGGGGAAATGAGAATAATAATGAGAACCCCCAAACTGTCTTCATACTGGGCTCTTATTTCTGTACTTTTGGAATAAGAAAGCCCTGCAATAGCAGCTTCTAGGTAAAATAGAGTCTGCTATTTAAAAAGACCATCAGCCAAGAATATAACAAATGGGTTCTGCTTCTGTGCTCTACCAACAGATTCAGAGCCTGATGCCAACCAGGGTAACTGTGTAAGTAACACACTAAGATGGTGACAGCTTCCCCCACCGTGTGCTGGCTGGTCTCAGCACACGCAGCCTGGAGCAGTGCTCTACCGCCAACTGTCTCCCTAATCCTGGAGAGGACCTGCACACTGCACCGTCTGGTCCCCAGACATTTTCCCATTTGATTGGGTCATCTGTGTCATTTTATGAATCATGAATGACTGGGGCAAGGCGCAGAAGCAGTTTCACCTCGCCCATCCAGTTAGGTCATGGTCAGTAGGTAACTTGTCTGTGAGTGGTAAGACAACAGGTGTCCCAGGTGTGAGCCAAGTGCTCCTGTGACACAAGGGAGGCATCAAGCCTGAGTGAGCAGACCCCAGAGACCAAAGGTCTTATTCTTTCAGTTCTGTTTTACAAAAAACAACTTAAGTCCCCAAAAGGAGGGAAGAGATGCTGGAGGAAGTCATGGAGTCAGAGGAACTGTGAACAGCCAAGACCTGGAGGGAGGCCAGCTGGCTTTGGGGACCTAGCAGTAGACCTGTCTGGCTGCTGCTGTCGGCTTGGCCCCACAGCATCTCATGAACTGGCTGTTCTGCACTTCCAGTGACCTCACAATCCTAGGTCTGCCTTGTCTCAGGGCTCACTTGATGTGTCCCCCAGTAGTGGGCTTGTTTCCAGAAGAGGAAGATTATCAGCTAAGATACCATCCTGGAAGGTAGGCTTCCAGGGCTTTCTCCTGAACGTGAGCTGATGTTTCTCATCAGTGTGTAAAAGGTGGTGTTGGGTTGAGATATAGGAGATGTCCTTAAGCTGTGTCACTCACTGGTGTCTGACACTTCTGGGAAAGTGGTAGACTTCTGCGAGGCCTTCACAGAATAATCTCTATAGTGATGACTTTGGGGACAACCCAAAGGGCTGTGCCAAGGCTGTACAAGCCCTGGAACAGGACGCTTGCCCTGGGAGGGCGGGCATGCAGTGGACCCGCTCACTGGTTTCCCCTCAGAGCTGAACATTCCAGCAGCCTGGGGTTGATCCCCGTGACCCTAGCTCAGCTCTGCAAGTACCCTGTGCCTCCTCAGAATGAGGAACAAGCTGGACTCTTTATTCTTAGTAAACTCCAGGGTAATTTGAAGAATCAGAGGAGTTTTACATTGAGTTTGAAAACCATGATGGGGGTGCTCAAAGGGCTCTGAAGAGAGGGAGCATGGAAACTGCCAGAAGGCCCAGGAAAGTCTTCTGTAAGAAGATGGCCCTTGAGAAATGAGTGCATGCTCAACCCACGTTAGGCAAAGAGGCTCTGTGAAGGAAGTGGCAGCACCTGTACCTGGAGCGGCCTGAGGAGGGGGCATGGGTGGGAGAGGTTGGAATCCCAATCTGAAGGAGATTGGCAACCAGGACTCAGGGGTTGGACTTGGTCCCACTTGGATGGTGGAAAACCATCAGCTGCTCAGTCCAATCATTAATTCTTAAGTTACAGTGAGGATTATTCAGATATTACTTGAGGATATGGGCATTGCAGATACCATCAAAATTTTCTTAAGCCACATGTAATCTGCCACCTTTCACCCACTGCCCTTCTTGTATGGAAACCCTCCTTAACAGCTCTCTCACCCCGTATCTGCTGAATCACCGAGGCTTGTGGCTCTCCCTCCTTCAGGCTGCTCGGTGCTCGGTCACCCCTGACCATCCCACAGCCTCTGTGTCCAGGGCATGTCAACTTCTAGTTCAGGAACCTCCAGCTCACTTCCTAGCAGCTGCAAGCTGCTCTTCACCCTGCTGCCAGAGGTGTCTGTCAACCACAAATCCAGTCCTTTTGTCCCCACTCCAGGCCTCACTCCTGCATCCCGTGCCCCACTGTGTCAGGGTCGTTGATGTGCGTCCCCTTGACCAGGTGGCAGCCTGCTTTCTCTTGGGAGTCTCTTAGCAAACGGTTCTTAGTTGACGTTCCTGGAGTTCGTGCTGCCCTGTTCTGAGCAACTTGAGCAGAAGAAATCTGCCAAAGAGTGTCTGTGGAAACTGTGAACAGTGGGTATGGTATATAGTAAGGGCTTCAACACAGCCACCAACTGCTGGGAGGAGAGCGCAGTGCGGAGAGCGCACTGCAGCCGCTCTCACCCTCTCCCCACCCAGCCCATTGCAGTGCAGCTGCCAGTCCCCATTGGTTAGATAAACGTCTTGAAGATTTCTGTATTGATCATAACCTTAAGATGTTCACTGACAAGAATGCAATTTGTTGCAAAATAATGGGGGTGCGTTGTTGTTTTTTGAAGCTCTCCCTCTTTGGTACTAGAAAGACGTCTTCCTCTTTTTTCCTCCCTCCCTCCTTCCTCACTTGGAATATAACCCAGTGCCTCGAACATGCTAGGCAAGCGCTCTACCACTGAGCCACAACTGCAGCCCGAAATCTTTTTTCTTTTAAAATAGTGTCTCACTAAGTTGCTGAGACTGGCCTGGAACTTGGCAACCCTCCTGCACCAGCCCCCCAAGTTGCTGGGATTACAGGTGTGCACCACTGCGCCCGGCTGGCACATGCCTTTTATGCTTTTAGTTACATGCTTCCAAAGAGACTTGGAGCTCTGCAGTCACCCTCCTGCCTGGGCCTCGTCTCTGGAGATCAGCCTCTCTTTGTGCCTCCCAACAGAGCTCCATGTCCACACCACCCACATTTCTGAATTATCAGTACCCAGAGTGCTCTTTTGTCCTTCACCAGTTTGCCACCTCGATCACTGTGACCTGAGGCCAGTGTTGCAAATAGGAAAGACACAGTGTCAAACAGCAGAGGCAGTCACCTTCAGGGACCCTGGCGATGCCCTACTTTCCTGCAGCTGTGATAAGGACCTATAACTCAGCAGCCAAGTGGCAGTGCTCCTTACGACTGAAAAAACTCCCATTTTTTCCTGCTTCTCTTAAATGAATGAATCCATAAAGGCATCCTCTCAAGATTGACCTCACTTGCAGTTAGAGCATCAGTAGCTGTCCCTTAAGACTCAGAGAATAATGTCAGGTACGTTTGACGTTGTACATCCAGCACTTAGAGATGCTTGGTTCGCAGTAAGTTTCTAATTAGAGCTTGTCAATATAA